TCATTATACAATCATGTATTAATCACATAGGAATCACATATATACTCATAGTAATTCATCATACATTCATTTAATCACATAGAAATCACAGTTACCCTCATGGTAATTCATCAGGAAAATCGCAGCATTAAAACATCAAGACATCACTGAACCAGAACATGATTGATTAATAAAACACAATCAGATATAAAAAATATTGTGAAACCAATTCCCTTATCTATACTATGTTGTAGTTTTGTTCATTAGCTTTCCAACGCTTCGAACATAGGCCGAAACAGACTTACGGATCAAAAGTTACGTCCAAAACGATTTCGACCGAAAACATGAACAGTCGCGACGGACAACATGCAATTTTCTGCGTTTTTCACCGTTTGAGGCCTTACGGACCTCCGATTTCGATTCCGTAAAAACCCAAACTCCAACTCATTCAACACTGTAATTATCTCAAGTAAATTTACAATTTTAACACAATTAAACTATCTATTCATTGTTTTAAGATTATGCCTAAAACCTTTAAAATTAAGGGATATAGGTTCAATCCCGTATCATATTTACGCCTCTAATTCCCATAATTTCTTACAAGTACCCTACAGTCATTAGAGTTATCACAAATCACTTATCCTATAGGGTTAAACAATCTCAATAACAGATTTTGGCCACGAAGGCCTAATTTCCTTTACTCTCAAATCAACCTCAAACCTATCAGACCATCCGATCATATCCCTATACGGTTAAAACCTTAATAATAGATTTTGGCCATGAAGGCCTAATTTCCTTTATCTAAAATCAGCCTCAAACCCTTTAAACCCTTAAATCAGCTTGACATGCACTGAATCACATATTGAAAACAATGAAGGCAATACTCCTCATACCTTAATTGCCGACTCTAAGCTTTTCTCCTTAATTCTTGGAAACCTTGCGAAGCTTTTGCCTCAATCCTCTTCCTCAGAGATTTGACCTCTATTTCTTCTCTTTTCACGGTCTAACAAGAATGAATCCTAATTCCCTTAAAATTCCTTTTTGTTAAACCTAACTTTGGGCCTTAAAATTGGGCTTTCCAACTTCACCCTCACTAACTCCTCATCAAATGTCCATTTTGCCCTTAATTCACTTATATTTATTTAATTTAATAATAATACAAATATATTCATGTTATATACTATTATTCAAATAAATAACCCAAAACTCCATAATTCTCAATATTTCATACCAACCACCGAAAATCACCAAAAATACGAATATTCATATTTAAATAAATTAAATAAATGTTCCAATAAATTTGGGGTGTTACACACCAACTCGTGAAGAGAACTCAAAGTAGGTTTTGGAAACTTGTAAGCCACATTCTTCTTCCTATTAGTGTCCATCTATGCGGAATTCAAACAACCAGAATCAAGGATAAGATGCAAACCCTGGAAATAAACACACATGAAGGTTAGGATACAATAATGATGTTATGCAAATACAGACATGGAATTAAGGTTTTCATATACTCTGAATAGTTGTTGTGTCGTTGACTGAATAAGATTAAAATTTTGCTATAGCGAGAAATCCAAAATACTAGAACACACGAATAATCAGAATATCAGCCTGACGAGAAATCTAGAATACCAGAACACCGAAAAATAAGAATATCAGGTTCATAAGTCCATAACAATAAGAAAACCAGAAAAATAGGTAAGTTGAAGGTCAAGGTTTCCTGCAAAGCTCGTCCCCTCTCACATGTGGGTTCTAGTATTGAAAGAGGTATCCTAGCAGGTCCTCAGTCTCACGAGCTCTCAGGTCGAGAAATGATTATACATTCACCATTTCTAGTTTGGCATCATCATCAATCAATAAGGCCTCAACTGACTTCCCATGCGGTCTTTAGAGTCATAAGCTCTCTAAGTCAACACCCTATCATCCACCTAAGACGCGCATGATAAAATATCTCTAGAGAAAACTTCGTCTGCATGTGAGTCTCGTGTCAACCAAATGTACCAAACGCTACGCAAGCCACACGACTATCCACTCTGATCTTAGGTATGTACTCAAGCCTAGGTAGTGGGCTTAATTCTCATGAAACTATCCCAGCCAACAGCACAACAACACATGATATGACAACAATAATAAAATAAATGCAAGAAAATGCAATAAATGTAGTAAACAAATTAAATAAAAGCACAAACATCCAATGAAAAAGAAACAGACAAGCACTAGGATTGACTCACATAAGGAACCAGGTTCTCCTCCCCAGCAGAGTCGCCAGATGTCGCAACTGTGAAAACAACCGGTGAAAAAAAATAGAGTCGCCACCGGACGTTATTTATCCCGACGGGGGAAAGGGAACGATCGAAGAAACCTCAAAAGGGAGAAGACATGGTCTCGCAACCAAATCTTGGGTTCGGGAGTCGATTACGCGAAAGGAATGTATTAACACCCCCTCGCGTCCGTTGTATTCAACGGGATCCACTCTTGTTGTTCCAATTGAATGGTGTGTTTATCTAAAGCTCTAATTTCTAACGAAAAAGGGAAAACAAAAGGGGACTCGATAGGACTTCACCGTCATATGCCTATGTATTCCCTAATGTAATGGGAAAGTCAGATTTAATGTAGTTCAGAGGACTACGAGAGAAATGGGGGGTTGTGCTCGCTAAGACTTCGTCGTCTTGTGACTACGTATCCTCATTCGAACAAGAATGAGGAAGTCAGAGCGCTCATAATTCGACCTACCATAGGTTGGTTGGTGTCTTTTATGAGCGATGCTAAGTTCGTGTTCCAGCAATTAGGGTCGATGCCTGTTTGCGGTAGAACGGAAGTAACATGCCCTTTCTGAAAAGGTTTGACGAAATATCCAGAAGGACAAAAAAGTTTGCATTTGTTCAAGGATTTTAGAGAAATGGATTGACTTTGTTTGTGACGTGTATTGCACAAAAGTCTATGACATAAGAGCGAACGCTTCGTAAGATCGACCCAAGATGGGACGTATACAAAATGCTCTAGACAAGGTAAGGAGAGACTTCTGCTTATCATTTCCCATATACTCAAGGCTCGTGGCATACAATGCATTTGATCCTTATTACGTGTCTTGAATTGATTTGAAAGATAGAGAAGAGACGAGATTCAAAGGGTAAAAGAAAATTCTAAGGGGGACTCAATCCTATATGTTATCATAACTAATGATCCTCAGATCAGGATTGAAGGGAGACTATCCTAAAAGTTGTCATGCTTGGATGAGAATCCTAAAGTCTATCTTGATTCAACTTATCGAGGAAGTTGAATTGAGAGAATCCTAAGGGAACGTGGGTTAACAGATCCAACAGGCAATACACCAAGATCATGGCAAAAATGACCAACAAGGAGGCATCCAAGTTTAACCACAATTAACATTAAGAGTAATATCATAGTCAAAATTTGTATCGAGATTCAATTAAGATCAAAATAAAAAATGACGTCTAACATTAAAAATAATCAACATTAAAATTTAATTAAGGTCCATCTAGACGAAGAATGAAAAAAAAATTGAGATCAAAATTGGATCAAAATAAATATTAATATTAATATTAAAGGAACAAAAAAGATTTAATCAAATAAAAATAAAACAAGTAGAATTGGGGGCGCAAAGAAGGGCATATGGTGTGAATCAAAATTCTCAGGCCCAACAACAACATGGCCCATCGTTGAAAGAAAAGCCCATCGTTGAATCAAAATGCAACTGGTGCGCACGATTCAACCAAAAAAGTCAACCTGGACTATGATCCTAAGTCCAAGGCATAATGACGCACGGTAGGGAATCAAAGGAAACACACGTAGGATTAAAAGATGGTACCAATTATAGAAAAGGGGAACCACACAAATCATTTTTTTAGACTTCACTCTTTCTCCTCTTGTTTCTCTTTTGCTAATCTCTGTCTGCAAAACTAAACCTTCATTTTCATCATATCTTGCAATTAATACACTACAATAATGAGAATGGAGCGACGAAAGTACCTGCGATTGAAGCCGAGAAGCGGTTCGTAGCAAGGTCGGATGTGGAGGAACTGGTGATGTGTAAATTGGCTTCGTCGGCGAGGTTCGCAAGTTGCTGCAGGCCCAGGCGCGGTAATACGGTGGTTTCAACGAAGTTTTCTTATTTTTTTTCTTTCAGTTCTTCTAATGTACCCTCCCCTTGTGAATTGGTTGCTGCCTCTTTATATAGGCATGAGAAATTCAATTGTGTTGATTCAACTTTGGACAGAAATTATGTACGGCTGTTAATTGTGATTTCCTACTGATATTTTGTTGATTTCGAATTGATTTCGTAAACCTTTAATTTCCATTCTTCATGATTCTTTCCTCTTTCGTATTCAAATGAATTTGGAAGTGCGGTATTGATGGGTGATTCTGTAGTGAATACGTAAATAATTTTGTGCCATTTCCGTCTCGTGGTTGTTAATAGCGGTAATTTGAATTTGCTGTAAACAAATCTCACAATCTTGATTGTGTAGCTCTTTGTTCAGGATTGGTCTTAAATTTGTAACTACTTACTTTTTGTGGCCCTTTGATGCAGAGATCTTGTTTCCATTTTCGAAAGGATCGTCATATCCTTACTTGTTTTGGAAGCCACAGATGCAAGAGGTAATGGCGTCTTGGCAAGTATCCAGATATTCTGCAGATCAAAAGCCTCCAGATTGGATAGAATCGCATAGGGAAGTTTTTCAAGTTCTTCACACGTTCTAATTCCTTTCTGAAAGCCGCAATATGTGGAGATTCTAATGCATCATCAGCGTCACCTGAATTCATTGATTTTGCAGGTTCAAAGATCCGTGCGAACTGAAGAAAAACTTCTCCAATATGCTGTCAAGCCGAGTATCATGAGGTGCGGTGAAAACTGTATGCATTTTTCTCTTTTCTTTACAAAACTTCATATGGTTTTCATTTTCTTGGTTTGACCTGTACTTGGCATGGAAGTAACACGCACCTGAGTAGGTACACATGGAAAGCGGATCCGACAATGAACTTCTAAGGAGATGTCCCAGTAGATGCTTCATCTAGGTAATTTCTTCAACGCAACAATATTAGTCTTTTCGGAACGAAACCACTTGTTTTGGCCATTATATTTTTTACCGAAAATTTTTGCATCTTTAGATTTAACTCGAGCAGCAGACTCCAATAATGTTTCACACTGCAATTCTCTTCTTGGTAATGACAGAAAGATTGAGAACTTCAGTTTTCTCTTTTTTCGCAGGTTTGCGTGGAGCAACGATAGAAGAATATTGCAGCATCGAGCATCTGCGGTAGGACTGACAAAAGCAGAAGTTTGAATAAAAGTGTCTATAGGTGTTTTGGTTTAATCTTTTTTACTTCAATTATAGGTTTATAATTCTTTAAAGTTTGATTACCATTGGAATGCACGGTTTCAGCATGAATCTCCATTGCGTATGACGATAACTCTAGGATGAATGCTTATAGTTATATCCTCCCAAAGGTTAGAAATACTTCTCCAAGTTTTTGTTAAAGTTATTGCGAGGAATTATAACTCACTTTCCTTGTGCTGGTTACCCTAAGATGGATGGAAGTCCCATAGCAGTTCCGTCCCTTAAAGCGGTAGAGTTCATTATCTGTCATGCTTGAGATTATTCAAAATGTTCATAATTGACCTGTCTTGAATTTTCACATTTGCAGGAGATATAACATGGATGAAAACATCCACCACTTGGTACCAAAAGATGTTGGCAACTAGCAGTGTTGATTTAGTGAAGCCTTTTTTGAATGAAGTATGTAAGTGTTGCCGTGAGAATCGTGATACCAAGCTATTGATTAACTTGAATCTTAAATTCTTAAATTCACAACCGGACTTTAATTTATCCAAAGGAAAGGTCTAAAGAAAGAAAAACCCTTTTGCGCGATGTAACAACCACGCTAAGAGATTCGGGGATCGGGGGTTGGTTATGCATAGGGTAGGTATTTCACATCCTAAACATCTGTAGTACTCTACAGGAACCTTTTGTTTGTTTGCATGCTAAGTTTGCTAGATGTTTGCTAAGGTATGAGATTGGGTAAAAGGTGAAGGTTAAAACCTAAAGATAATTTCTAAGTCTGCTCGCAAAGACATCACTTCCTCTGCCTACGTATGCTAACTAGGTAGAATCAGAGCAATCGTAGTTCCACTCACAAGGGTTGAAGAACACCTGATTATGATCAAGGTTCAGAGGGGAACAAACATATCTATGTTTGTGTAGAGTTTCACAAAACTCTCTAGATCTATGTTATAACACTCAAGAGGGTAGTAAGTAATCATTGCTATGATTCTTACATAGAGTTTACAAACTCTATCCTAGGGTTCTAGTTGACGAACACTCCTAATGTAGGTGAGTCTTTTTAGACTTAAGGCAAAGTCTAAGGCTTATACTAATGTTCAAGATGACTTCACAAAGTCAAGGAAGGGTAATGAGCTATCCAATGAAATAAGGGTCAAGAGAGAAACTTTTCCTTTGGAAGGAGAGAGAGAGAGAGAGAGAGACAACTTGGATGAGAACTAAAAAGTTCCATCACTTGGGGAATAAGTACTTAACAAAGTAAATAAGTAAAATGAAATAAGACAAGTAAGTATGCAAATTACAATAAGCATATACTTCAAATGATATCAATGGTTACAACCAATAAATCATCTTAACAAAGATTGAGGACCTATCTTGACAAAGATTGGAACATGATGAAAATAATTACCACATAAACAAATCACAATTTGAAGATAGGCAAGTCACAAATTCAAAACATAGCAAATGTAACAACAATACATAGATGATAATCAAACAACGTTAAATCAGTTTAAACCTCATAATTTAGGAGGGAAATTGAGGTAAATTCATGGTAACAAGGTTCTATTATGCTAACAAACACAAAAGAAACAATCATCCACAAATCTCACAAGATAAATAAGCATGGTATAGAAGAACGTCAACAAAGACGCGAGGTAACAATCGACAAAAGAACCAACTTTCAAATTGGCAAAAAGCAATGTGATTATGAGCAACTTGAAATTTTTTCTTATTAAATAAAACTAGACATTATTTTGAACATTTTGCAAAAAGAGTGGATTGAAAATGATAAAAAAATAAGTAAGTTATGATTTTTTTGAAGTTTGTTGAATAAAAAGAAATAAAATGGTAAAGTGTCCTCCATGGGACTTGAACTCAAGACACAAGGGCATATGGTCATAAGGGGCGCATGGTTCTACCACTGGGGTGGCTATACATCCGTGTATTTAGCCACCCCAATAAATATATGAGGTATGTTTCGTGGATTTCTGGGCAAGATAAAACAATGAAATGCCGAAATACGGTTTGATGCGTAACTTACTCAAAACTCAACCTTTTTTGATGAAATTTTAGTCAAAACCACTTGAAATTTTATGAGGATCATGATATCATCATTCATTTTTCCAAACAATGTACACAACATGAAAATCGAAGGAACATGCATTCTAAGACAATGAGATGCAATTTGAAGCACATGGTACACCACAGATGCAATTGAGGTTAAGGCAAGGCATGAGCAAGTTACAAATGTGATGTTAAATGAATTACAACTAGCAAACCAATTGAAGGATCTCCAGACATGGAATTGGTATAAGAGTTGCTACTAAAAGCATGAGTTGCTCATGAACAAAACAGAATGTCCACAACATCAATCAACACAACTCCAATAAATCAAAAATGCACCAAAACACCTATAAATCTCTAAAACAAACTGTTAGCACAAGAATTGAAGTCTTTTTAAGTGGAGGCTGTCAAGCTACTATGTTGAGTGTAATTGTGTTGGAATGCAAATGCAAACAATCATACCTTGTGGTTTTCTTAAACAAATAGAAGCATGAAGATAAGGCTCAGGTTGCAAGAAAATTATCAAGACAGATGCAATGCAATGAGGTCAATGGCATCAGGTGGATTTGAAACAGCAGGCACAATGCAGGACAGTTTTCTTAAAAAAATGAGCTTGATGGTGCAGGCTAGTGCAGGATTGTTTTGAAAACCAATTTGATGAGCAAGTTTCAAAAGTAAAAGGATTCATGTCATACAATCAATGCACCATGTTTCAATCATGCTGATTACTACTCTCATGCTCAGAATGTAAACAGTCTCTAGTATGCTCTTATGGTTAACAGTGCAAGCAGAAATGGTATTCAATGGAGATTGGTGATAAAAGGAGTTAGCAAACTCCAACACAGAAATAACAGCAAGTTTGTTTTGTGTGGCTTAATTCACTGATGAATTCCAACCCTCAACCAATTTTGATATTACAAGAAACAAAGAACAGTTTAGTTTCCTACCCTATTGGCAGTCATTAACTTAATGCAAACAACACAAATTGGACAAGTCAAAATAATGTCAAAATTAATTTCAAACAAACTGCCCAACTTTGCATGACAATGCTCTTCTGACAGTATACATTTCTCCCAAATCAAAGTGATTATCATACCAGCATCAAACATTATGACTGTTATCAAACAATGACCTAAATTCAAAGTCAAGAACAATCAGCCCCAAACTCTTTCAAGTATCAGTTATTAATGCAAACAGATTTTGGTAGTTGTTAACATTCATGGAAAATGTTAGTTCATGTTTTAAGCAAGTATGGTACAGACTGAGCATTTCAGCCTCAAATCTAACCAAAGGACAACAGACAAGGAAATTGGCATTTTAATACACAAGAAACATCCAACAGTCAGAGTTTGTGCTAAATTTGATGATGGATAAGGTGTTCTGGTTTCAGTGGAAAGCTGTGGTGGAAAGTGCTATGCAAGTTGCAATTTTGGTCATGAGTGATATGCAGGCTGTGAGGTAATTCAGTTTCCATGCACATGTTGATCAAATTAATCACTCATACACATTGAATATATGTTAATGAATGAACTTAAACCACAGTTATGGATCAAGACAGTCTAAAATAAAAAAATGATGTGCAAGTTGCAAAATGTGAACAAAATGCATCTTTGAAGCTAGTGATCAGTTCAGGCATGTTATAATCAAAAAAATGGTTCAAGCACAATCCAAATATCATACATATCATGTTCATGCATTCAAATCAACTGCTTATGAGGTGCCAATCCAACTGTCATGTGAGAATGAGGTGAAAATTAAGTTATGGCAAGTGAAATAGTGAGATATGAAAACAGACCAAATTTGAGTGAAGAAACCACACACACATGCTCAGAACATCATATAAAATGTGTCTAAACCAAACAGAAGTTTACAATCCAAGTGAATTTCAAAAACCTAAGACAACTGCCATGTTGGTGAATTGACATGCATTTTCAAAGTCATAGTTCAAATTGCTCATGCTTAAATCAAATTGAATGTCCTCACACCCTCTAAATACAACATATATAAAGTTTCAAAATAGCTGAGGTCCAAAATCTAACCTAAATACAAAGTGACTCATAATTTGCAATTTCTGACATAAGTTGTAAAAAGAGAAATTTCAAAACAGTTGGACAATTAAGGATATGCTAGCATAGTTCAAATGCAAGAAGAAAGGCTCTCATGGACAAACAAACTCAAACACACATCACAAATATAGGGCCAAATGAGTTACCACTCAGAGATTGATCATTGTGTAAGTGAACATGGTTTTGGTGTGTGTTCTTGGCAGTTTTGGTTCAAAATGAAGTTAAGTGGTGATGTTGTGGCACATTTGGTGAGAAAAAAAAACTGTTTTAGCAAGAATGTGGCAGCAGGGGGTATTTTTCAAATTGATGAATTTCAAACCAAAATAAACATCCACACACATTCTTAATATGATAATAGACATGTCTATGCTTACACACCAATTCAAATCAACATCACACAAAAGGAAGCACATTGAGGCTCAAAAAAATGCACAAACATCAACATGTTAGGGCAGCTGGCCAGTTCATGACAGATGGGAGTTTTTGGCATCACACACACACATTTCAAATGAGTAAGGCAATAATTTTATGAACACAGATCAAGTGAGCATGGATTGAAACAGAATCTAGCATGCTTGTCATCATGATATTTTACAAAGTGCAGCAATTTGAATCATGATATGTCAAATAGAATCTTAGACAGACTTTGTGCATAACAATAACATTCACATTCTTGAAATGAATAGGCAAATGAGTTTACAACTTCAAGTTAGACAAAAACTCATTAAGTCAAAGAATGACATGTTGAACCAATATTAGACAGCAAAAGCACACATATCTCATGACAAGCCCTAAAGTTCACACTTCATGTTTCTCATATTTCCACCAAAACAAACATTATAAGTTTGAT